TTTTATTATGAAGATATTATCATCTTTGTCTGTCTTATATGTTGCATTGCTTTCTTTCAATTTATACTTGTCTTTAATGATTTTTTTTCCCTGAACACAAAAAACTATTTTAAAAATTTTCTCCACATTCTTTTTGGTGCATTATAGGTATACATGATGGTGGGATTTGTTGTTACATATTTGTACATGCATATAATATAATAATATGATTTGGCCAATATAATTCCCCAATATTTCCCCTTTCCCTCCTCTCTTCCTGCCCCTCATCCCTTTCTGCTATTCTACTGATCTCCCTTAGATTTTCATGAGATTCTCCCAAACTTTCTTTTCCTTTATCCTCTTTAGCTACCATGTATGGTAAAAATCATACAACACTTGACTTTCTGAGTCTGACTTATTTTGCTTAATATATTCTCAATTTCCATTGTCTTGCAAATGACATAATTTCATTTTTTTTCTTTATGGATAAATAAAACTTCATTGTGTATATCTACCACATTTTCTTTATCCATTCATCCATTCATAAACACCTAGGTTTATTACATAGTTTGACTATTGTGAATTGTGCTGCTATAAACATGGGTATGCATGTAGTATGATGACTTTAATTCTTTAGGAAAAATACCGAGGAGTGGTATACTGAGTCATATGGTGGTTCAATGTCTAGTCTTTTGAGGAATCTCCATGCTAATTTCCACAGTGATTGTACTAAATTTTAATTCTGCCAGTAGTATAAAAGTGTTCCTTTTTTTCCACATCCTCTCCAGCATTTATCACTGTTTGTATTCCTGGTGGCTGCCTTCCTGACTGATGGTAGATGGAATCTCAGTGTAGTTTTGATTTTCAATTCCCTAATTGCTAATAATGTTGATAATTTATTTTTCATATATTTGTCAGCCATTTGTATTTCTTCTTTTGAGAAGTGTCTGTTTAAGTCATTTGCCCATTTATCAGTTGGGTTATTTGGTTTTCAATAACCAAATATTGGGTTATTTTTTAATCTTTTGGACCTCTTTGTATATTGTAGATATTAATCCTCCATCAGAGTAGTAACTGGCAAAGATTTTCTCCCATTCTGTAGGCTCTCTCTTCACATTCTTATTTGTTTCCTTTGCTATGCAGAAGCTTTTTAATTAAATGCTGTTCCATTTATTAACTATTTTTAAAATTTATTTATTTATTTTAATTAGGTATATATGACAGCAAAATGCATTTTGATTCATTGTACACAATTGCAACACAACTTTTCATTTTTTTCTGGTTGCATTTATTAATTCTTGACATTATTTCCTGAGCTTTAGGGGTCCTATTGAGAAAATCATTGCCTGTGACTCTATTGATTTTATGCTTTCTTCTTGGAGTTGCATAGTTTATGCTCTAATTCCTATGTCTTTGATTCATTTTGAGTTAATTTTTGTGCAGGGTGAGAGATAAAGGTCTACTTTCATTCATCTATAAATATGGATAACCATTTTTACCAGCAGCATTTGTTACAAAGGCTTTTTTTTTTTTTCCAATGTATGTTTTTGGCAGCTTCATCAAGGACCACATGACTGTATCTGTGTTGGTTTTTCTCTGTGTCTTCTATTCTGTAGTATTGGTATGTGTGTCTTGTTTGACAGTACAAGTTTTTTGTTACTATAAGAGAAATTTGTTTTAATGTAATCAAATGCCAAACCTTTATTGTGTGTGTTTGTCTTTACACTTTAGAAAAGACTTTGCCATGGATAAAAGACTAAAGGAGAGCAGAATGTTTGGAGTCATTGAGCCGATTTCATGACTTCAAAAATTCTTTTATTAAATGTTAAACATTAATATGACTATGATTATTTGGAAAGTATTTCAAACATTATTACAACCTATTCGAAAGCAGTTGATTTCTGAAAGCTTGATGGAGTCTGAGATTGGTCTAATTAATATCAAGAACTAGTCTATTGCACATCACTGGGGTTGTAATTACATTTGGGTAAATGTCTTCACTGCATCAGAATCCCCCTGGCAGTCTCATCTAATTTCAAATAACTGAAAAGTAGAATAGAATAAAATCACATTTAAAGCTTTATTGTTTATAGAAATCATGAATTTCATTTGAAATTCTCAGTACGACCTGTTCCTTAGTGTGAATGCCACTGTCTATGAAGCCTTCCCTGGCCACTAGCACAGATTATATTATCTTGCAACACTGTGTTGTGGTTCCTGATTCCTCTCCTTCAAGTCACACATGGGAATGATAATCATATTCAGCTATTTGTGGTTTGACGTTGGCCCATATTATTCTAGCCTCTGAGAGGTAAACCCATTTTTCTAGTCACTGCATCTCCAGAATCTAAAGCAGTGGTAGGAGAACCTTGGAACTCATAAGCACTTGAGCAAATACATGAACACAAGGACCTCTTTCTTTGTGGGAGTGGGTTCTTTGTCTTTTCCTTCCTGTGGAAGGAAAAAGTGGAAGTGTGATTGACAGTTTACTTTTGTCATTCTTCTGATCAAAGAGGAAGGTAAGAACACACTACTGGGGTGTACAGACATTTTAACTAGAAACCACTCTAATTGGATGGATTTTGGGCAAGACATTGGGGCTGCAAACTAATTCTCTGGCCAAATTTAGCCATACCCTCTCCTGACACATTGCCTATGGTGACTTTCTGCCAACCACAGAGTCAAGTAGTTGCACCTGGCCCACTAAGCTTAAAACATGCATTATGACCCCTGTATTGGACGGGTAAGCCTAGTCAATATTATGATTCTCAATAGTGATATTAATATTTCTTTTTAATTCTTTACTGCACTGAGAAATTCTATGATTCCATGGTTTCATGTAATGAAAAGTTCAGAGTTAAGTTGTCGGTCCAGGTTGCTGCTGACTTAGGGAGGTGAGGGAGAAATCTAATAGATTCCTGGAAAGAAAGAAATAGTCTAGGCCTGGCAGTTAATTAAGCACTGATCAACAGTACCTAACCACAAAAATTCAAAGGCAAAAAAAGTTCATACACCAAATTTCTGATCAATTTAATGTGTCTCACTCTTGTAGAAATTAGTTGCTTATAAAATTTACTTGGTGTCAAAATAAACCTTCCCACCTGCTAGCACTGAAGGAAAGTGGAGCACAGAACTGAAGCATCCCCAAGGTTCCCTTGAACTTGTTCTTTGATATCTGAAAGGCAATAGATAAAGAAAACTGCCTTTACAGGCAGGCATATTGAAGGGAGAAGCATATTCACTGAATAACTGAGCACCGAGGAGGAGAGAAATTCTTCAAAAATCAAGAACTCAAAATTCAGGGCAGCTTATAGTCATGGGATAGAGAACTTTATATACTTAAGTAAACCCTGTAGTTCAGGACATCAGTAAAGTGGTGAGCCCTGTTCAGGATGCTTGGCTTAAGAGGATAAGGGAGAATAATGTAGGCTATTTTGTCATCCACTGTGGAAAAATTTTCATCCTGAATGCTTAAAAGTTAAAATGTTTTTCTGGGTGCAGTGATGCATGCCTATAATCCCAGTGGCTCAGGAGGCTGAGGCAGGAGGATCACAAGTTCAAAGCTAGCCTCAGCAACTTAGCAAGGCCCTAAGCAACTCAGTAAGGCTCTGTCTCTAAATAAAATATAAAAGAGGCTTGGATGTGGTTCAGTGGTTAATAACCGTGGGTTCTATCTCCAGTACCAAAAAAAAAAAAAAAAAGGTAAAATGTTTTGTGTTTAATGTTAACTCTCAGTGAGAAATGTTCAGGAATTGCCTCAGAACTATCCCTATCACGAATAGTAATTGACAAAGGGTGACGAAAATAGGATTGTCAGATAAAAATGCTTTCATCTGCCACTAGCAGCTCAGTAACAGTGACCCAGGAATCCCAAGTTTCCTGGTAACCCTTGCCAGCATCAGGATGTTTCTGGGAAACAAATGACCCATGGGTTGTGGTTTAGATATGAAATATCCCCCAAAAGCTCATGTGTGGGACCATGCAGGAATGGTCAGAGATAAAATGATTAGATCAAGAGAGTTTTAACTTAATCAGTGGATTAACCCATGCAATGGATTAATAATTTGAATGGAATAATGGGTAGTAACTGTAGGCAGGTAGGGTAGATGAAGTATGTCACTGGAGGTGTCCCCTTGGGGATTATATAATCCATTGCTCCTTGTACTCAAGCTCTCTTTCTGCTTCCTGGCTATCAAGAGCTGAGCAGCATTCCTCCCCCACACCTTCGCACCAGGAGGCTCCCTAAGTCAGCCTTTTCTCAGACCCAGAGCTATGGTATTGGCAGATCATAGACTGAACCTCTGAAACCAGGAGCTAAAATGAACTTTTCCTCCTCTAAGTTGCTTTTGTCAGGACTTTTGGTCACAACAATGGAATTCTAACTAACATACCATGTAAAATGTATTTTTAAAGAGGAAGGAGAAGAGGAGAGAAAGGAGAGGAAGAAGAAGACAGGAGGCAATGCTTACATGGATTTGCAGTTCCTCTTTGCTTTTTAATGAGGCACTGGGGAGATTAGTGTCTATGCTCCTGGTACCATATGCCTCTCCAGCCTTGCCTTACTCCAGTGGCTGCCCCACTATGCAGTACCCCTGACCAGGGTTCTTACATGCAGTGTCCCTGCCACAAGTTGCAACCAAGAGGTGACACATCTTTTTTTTTCCTTATGTAAGAGTCAAGGACTTTTTTATTTTAAAGGACTAGTTTATAAGTCGGAGGTAACAAAAATCAAAAGAAAATAAGATTCTTTTGAAGCAAATAGATACTAGAAGCAATCTGTTATCTATCTATCTATCTATTTATTTATTTATAGTTCTCACTTATTCCTCACCATTTGCATGTTACAGGATCTGGAATCTCAGGGCATGTTTAGGAATTTCCCATTTTCTGCTCCCTTTTTTTACTCTTTTTTTCCCCTAGGGTTGGTACTGGAAGAGTGAAGACTTTGGCAACTATTCAAATGTGGCCATTAATTCGTGGTACAATAACTTGAAGTTCACCATATGCAGTTTTGTACTCACTTGGAACAGAAGAAGCTCCTGGTGGACTTCTTATCAGAGGAATCTGGTGATCCAGGTTGCCAAGGAGGCACAAGGATCTAATGGGCAGCTATCAGTCGGTCTTCTTGTACAAATATCTTTTAACAATACTTGAAGTATTACCTTAACTGAGAAACATATAATAGAACAAAAGGATTCATTAAAAATGATTCCAGAATGAGGCCCACCTGAAATTTTCTATAATAAATTAAAGAGAATTATGTAACTTAAGTGAGATTTATTAACTACACTTTTAATTTTCTGACACTGCCTGGTTGTTCCCAAAGAATATTATCTCATTCATACAGAAAAGCATATAAAACTTACCCACCATTCCATCATGCCTAAATAGCCATTGTGAAGACTATATATACATAAATCATAAATTCACATTGTATACTATCTTCTATTTTTTCTATTTTTTCATTCAACAGTTTAACAGTATTATTTTCCTATATATGCCTTTGGTTGCCAGAAACCATATGAAAACTACCATGTGAAAATTTCACAATTTTAAAAATAATTCTCTTACTCTTAGACATCTGCAATGTTTATAATTTTTTTTATAAATATTATCAAAATGAACATTTTTGTACAATCACCTTCTTTCAGATCTATGATTATAACTTATATCTAGGGCTGAAATTATGTAATAAAGGGTATGATTATCTAAACATTCTCTTAAGATATTTTTTTAAATTTCTTTTCACTAAGAGTTTTCCACTTTTACAATTGCTTTTCAGCAAGGTGTGACCAATTTACACTCTAAGCCTTAGTTCTAAGAATGCTAACCTCACCAAGACCTGAACATTACTGCATTTGTAATTCAATAATAATACCAAAAATTTATACCATGTTTCAAGTTGCTTTTTGAAGTATTTATCTAGAGCTTTGAAAATTCATTTCAAATGATTAAGTTGTATTTCTTTTCTTTTTCTGTTTATTACTAAACAGACTTTTTGAAAAAGTATTCATTTTGTAGTGATTCTTCCCTCCAAATATTTATTATAAAAAATTCAAACAGACAAAAACAACGCAGTAATCTTTCAAACACTCACTATTTACACTTTTTATTTGCTGTATCTATTCTGATGAATTTCTCATGTTCCTCATCATAGCTCTACCTTGGCCTGAGCTCAGAGCCTCCAGATGTCAAAGTCCCTTGCAGCATTCTCCCACCCAGTCTGCTGCCTTCTTCTGAGGTTCCTTGGTGCATTCTGTGTTTATTCTTCTCTTTGGTATAATCCCTGCTCCTCTCCACTCTGATTGGGCTCTGGAAAAGCCTGTGCTTCTCACAGATGTTTATCTCCCAATTGTACATTAACAGAAATGTGTAGAAGTCTCCTCTGTGTGACTTGATTACTTTTGAGCATATGAGAAATGCTTAAAATTTAAACAGCCATTATCTGGTGGGATCCTGGAAACCTTTATTCTTTTACTGATTTTTAAAAATATCCTTTATACATGAAGAGGATTGTCCAGATGTCACAAGTAGTACTCTCTTATGATTTCCTTTTAAAGTTGTGTTAATTATTTAAGATATCAGACTTTTAAAACTAAAATTTTATGACTAATTGATGAATACTTTTTGTGATATTTTTTCATTTTTTTTAAAATTCCTATTCAGAGATTATATAAATCATTTTCTATATTTTCTGCTGTTTTTATTCCTATCTATCATCTTTTGATTCATAATTTCTAATCCTCAAAAATACCTGAAATATGTTTGGCATATAGAGTAGAGGGAGAATCTTCTGAGTTTTAACCTCCATGTAGCAATTCTTTCTACATGTTTATAAAATAAACATTGCTTCATCAGTGATTTGAGGTCTTTCCTTCTCTACATTAAGTTCTTATCAACACACATTAGGGTTTATTTTATAAATGTGCACATTATTATAAAGTTATTTTTTAGATATACATGACACTAGAATGTATTTTGACATATAATATATGCATGGAGTACAACTTAGAATTTCTAACTAGGATCCCATTTTTGCAAATGTACATGATGTGGAGCTTCACTGGTTGTATATTCACATATGAACATAGGAAAGTTAAATATGATTCATTCTACTGACTTTCTCATTCCTATTCCAACTCCTTTCCCTTTATTCCCTTTTGTTTATTTCATTGAACTTCTATTTTTCCCTTGGCCCCTTGTTGTATGTTAGCATCTGCATATGATCCACTTATCCCACTCCTGAGTATATACCCAACAGACTGATTTTAAGTCCTTTGGGTATATACTCAGGAGTAGGAAAAGTGGATCAATGGGTGGTTCCATTCCAATTTTCTGAGGAATCTCCATACTGCTTTCATAGTGGTTGGTTGCACCAAATTTGCAGTCCCACAAGCAATGTATGAGGTGGGTAACTTTTACCCCACATCCTCACCAACATTTATTATCGCTTGTATCCTTGATAATTGCCATTCTGACTGGAATGAGATGGATGAGTGTAGTTTTAACTTGCACTTCTCTAATTGCTAGTGACGTTGAACATTTCTTCATATATTTGATGACCTTTTGTATTTCTTCAACAAATGATGATAGGAAAATGGGATATTCATATATAGCAGAGTGAAATTTAGCCCCTATATCTCACCCTACACAAAACTTAACTCAAAGTGGATCAAGGAATTAGGTATTAGACCAGAGACCCTGTACCTCCTAGATGAAAGAATAGGCCCAACCTTCCATCATGTCAACTTAGGAACCAACTTCCTCAATAAGACTCCTAAAGCGCAATAAGTAAAATCAAGAATCAGTAAACAGGACAGTATCATACGACAAAACTTCTTCACAGCAAAGAAAACAATCAAGAATAGAGCCTATGGAATGGAAGAAAACCTTTGTCATCTGAAACTCAGATAAAGCATTAATCTCCAGGATATATAAAGAACTCAAAATAGTTAACACTGGAAACAAACAAATAAACAAAAACAAATAAACCATCAATAAATGGGCAAAGGAACTGCAAAGTAATTTATTATAACATTATTTGTAATAGTCTAAACTGGAACTTCAAAGTCATTTATTATAACATTATTTAAAATAGTCTGAACTGAATGATGAACTCAGGTTTTGAGTAAGCAATTATAATTATACAATGTAATGCTCTGTTGGAAAGATGATATTACAGAAGTATATGTATTTTTATATATAGCTGTCTAGATGATATTGTTAAAGGGCAAATACCGGTTTTATATGGTATAAATATGTGTGTAATTGTATATTTTTAAACACTTAATCCTGAATATTTACACACTGCTATGATTTAGATCTGGAGTTTCCCTTAAAAGCTCATATGTTAGTAACCAGGTCAGCATATGGCCTCAGTGTGAGGTGCTGGAATGTTTAGAAGTGAGGCCTACTGGAAGGGAGATAGGTCACTGGGGACATCCTCTTGAAGATGGTACTAGGATCCCTCCAACCCTTCCTGTCTCACTTTTGCTCTGGCTACCATGAGGTGAAGAGACCTCCTCCACCTTGTGCTCAGATGCACTGTGCTGCCACAGGTCCAAATAAACTGTGACCAGAGACTAGAACCTCTGAAACTGTGAGCCAAAATAAACCTTTCCTCCTCTTAAGTTGATGGTCTCAGGTATTTGTCGCAGCAACAGAAAGCTGACTAACATACCCATAGAAGCAAAAATCTGAAATATTTCCAAGCTAAAACTGTCAGGATCTTTGAGAGTTGGCATTCTAATTAGAATATTATTTTTATGTGTATTTCTTAATATTTTTATGATAAGTGTACAATATTTTGAAAATGATACTATATTTATTTCTGTTGCTTAAATAGAACAAGATTAACATTTTCTCAATTTCAATCCTATATATAGGATTAGATTTGCTTTGGTGATACTTATTATAATCACAGTTTGTTAACTTCTGGATCTGACAGACAGGCTTCATTTACATTTGTTTAACAATAAAGTTATTATGAGAATGAGAAACAATAATTTGCAATGAAATTGTCTATTTCCATGCATTATCTCTGGGCCAGAGTGGGTGTGCCATCATCATATTTGAGTAGAAAAAAACAACAGTGCATTGAAGAGGCTGTGCCCTTAGGATGATTTGTTTCCTTTGCCATTCCATCCAGTTCCTTTTCATTTTTAAATTTATTTCTTTGTCCATAAAGATATGTCTCAAAGAATGGCTTCAAGGTAATCCCTTGCATATCTAATAAAACCCATTTGTGGCCTTGGAATATGAAAGGAGACTTGGCTGTGTATAAAATTCTTGAGATGCAGCCTCTCCCCTTCAGAATCTTGCAGCTGTGGCAGCCCTGTTTTCCAGTGGGGACAGCTCCCTTTTTAGATAGCCCATCATTTCTGCCTGCTTGCTCTTAAGAGCTTTTAAAAACAAATTCATCTTATTCACATATTCTGGGAGTATATATGTAGGTGTGTGCATCTGTATTCTTCAATTTTCTCTAATACATGTTTAATACTTTCTGCAAAAAAAATGAATTGTTTTTGAATTCATTTATTTTTTGATGCATTTTATTTAGTTCTGTGTTTATTGCTTCATTAAAATTTTTGGTTTCTTTCTTAAAATCATCTATAATTATGCATCGAATTTGTATTTTTTTGTTGGGCACGGTAGCTTTTGTTTCTTTTGGCCTCCATTGGTGTCTTATTTTCATTTGTTTTGTCCTTTTTCTATGTATCCTGAGAATGGTGCATATAGTCTTCTGTATCAGTGATTACTTGACCTTAGTATCATTATTGGCTCTGTTGATTACAGCTTCCTGTTGCATAGTTACATTTCTGGTATTAATTTCTTACAGGATCCAGCTCACTTTTTTTAGTATAGTTTGCTGCTTTTTACCTTTGTCTTTTATATGATTTTCTGGTCTTTCATAGAAGTCAAAGTTTATCAATGCCATTCAGGAGACTAATTTTATATTTTATGTTTCTACTGTGTTCTAGTAAAAAAATCACATTCAGGGATTTTCTCTTAGATCTTTAGAAATAATTCTGCTTTTTCTTTTACTTTTTTTTTTCTTTTGTCCTCCACAACCAGCATCCATTATTTACCCCACTGTGAGCTCATGGCAGAGTGGATAACTCTTCTTGACCTCAACAACTGCTGGTTTCTGGCTACCCTTAGATCTACAGTTGGGGAGAAAGCTGTATGGCCCAGTTTCTAATCTTGTTCCTGATATCCAACTGCTTTTGGGTTTTATGGTATTTCTAAGCTGAAATGAAAAGTTATTCTAGACCATGGTTATAAAGAGGTAGGCTACAGAGGTTTGTTACATGGCTAGCACAGAATTTTTGTCTGCTTTATTTTTAAACATTCCATATTTTTATTACTTTTATCTTGATATCATGTACACCAAGGGCACAGAAATGAAAGGCCCAGTTTTATTTTGGAAATTTTACATTTATATATACGTCCCAATACTACCCAGGCTTAGATGTAGGCTCTGTGTCCCTTCTCAGTCAATACTCTCTCCCTAGTGGCCACTATGTTCTCTCTTGCACCAACAGTTTGCCTGCCCTTGCACTTGGTAAAACTAGACTTCTATGTACTCCTCTGTGTTTGGCTCCTTTAACTCACTATGTTAGCTAGATTTATTCACATCGGTGTATATAGCAGTAGTTTGTCATTTTTTATTGCTCTATAACATTTCTTCTTTTGAATATATCATACTTTATTTATCTCTTCTTTCATTGACAGACATTTGGGTGATTTCCACTTCTGTGCTCTCATGAATCAAGGCATTAAGAACATTCTTGCACACATTTGTTTCTCTTGAGTATATATCTGGGAACCCAGTTAATATCTTGAGGGTAGGTGAGCTCAGCAGATTTTTTACAATTGCACTTTTTTGTGGGTGGGGTACTGGGGATTGAACTTAGGGGCACTCAGCCACTGAGCCACATCCCCACCTTATTTTGTATTTTTTAAAATTTAGAGGCAGAAGGATCTTGAGTTCAAAGTCAGCCTCAGCAATGGCAAGGTGCTAAGCAACTCACTTTTTAATTTTTTTTTTATTTTGAAGTAATGGTAGATTCACATGGAATTGTAAGAAATAATACAAAATTCCACTCGCCCTTTACCCAGTTTCTCCCAAGGGTAAGATATTACAGAACTTTGGTGCAAGATCACAGCCATGAGGAGGCCTTGAGGAGGCCAAGTTATAGAGCATTCCTGTCACCACAAGGATCCCCACCCCCACCCAAACCTGTTGCCATTTTGTAGCCTCTTCCCTCCCACTTCTCCTTCTTTTACCCTTGGCAACCACCAGTTTTCCATTTCTATAATCTGTCATGCCAAGAATGTTACATAAATGGGTGCATAACTTCTAGAGGATCACTTGTTTTTCTCAGTGTGATTCTCTAGAGATTCATCCACATTATTGCACTTGTTGATAATACCATTCCCTTTCACTGCTAAGTAGTGTTTCTTAGTATGGAGGTATCAAAATTTTTGTTAGCCATTTCCTGCTGAATGACATCTGGACGGATTCCAGCTTTTTGCTGTTAAGAATAAAGCTGTTATCAACATTCATGTGCAGATTTTTATGGGAACATGAGTTTCCATTTCTATGGGATAAATGCCCAGGAGTGTAATTGTTGAGTTGTGGGGTGGTTGTATATGATTACTCAGAAACTGTCAAACTACACCGTTTTCAGTTCTCATCAGCCATGTGCAAACGATCCCAATTCTGCACACACCGCCAGCCCTTGGTAGTATAATTTCTTTCTTTCTTCTTCATTTTTTAAAAAATTTCTGCCATTCTAATAGCTCTTTAGTGATATCTCCTTCTGGTTTAAATTTGAGTTTTCCTAATGATTAATGAAGCTGAACATCTTTTCTTGTGCTTATTTGCCATCTTTATATTCTGTTCAGTGAAATGAACCTTCATGGCTTTTGATCTTTTTCTGGTTTTTAACTGTGGAAATTTTAAAAATGCTAGATAGTAGCTTTAATCATTTAAATGGTATGCAAATCTTTTCTCCCACACTGTAGCTAGCCTTCATGGCTTCCTAGTAGGGTCTTTCAGAGAGCACAAGTTTGTAACATTGATGAAGTCCAATCAATGAATTTTTCTTCTCAGGGGTAATACTTTGGTGGCAATAGATCCTGAAAATTTTATTATTTTTTATAAAGTTTTTATGGTTTTATAATATGCTTAACCACATGATCCATTTTCAATTAATTTTTGTTTAAGGGGTGATGCATAGATCAATATTAATTTTTTTTTCACTTATGGACGCTCAATTGGTCTAGTATTTTCTGGTTTAAAAGTTTTCCTTCCTTATTAAATTGTTTCTAAACCTTTGTTAGAAAACAACTGGAAGCTGGGCTTGGGGGCACACACCTGTAATCCCAGAGACTCAGGTGGCTGAAACAGGAGAATTGCAAATTTGACAGCAGTCTCAGCCATTTAGTGAGGCCCTAAGCAGATTAGTTAGACCTGTCTCTAAATTAAAAACAAAAACAAAACAAGGCTTTGGATGTAGCTCAGTGGTAAAGTGCCCCTGGTTTCAATCCAGAGTACCAAACATTTTTTTTTAAGTTAAAAAATCAGTTAGAAATATTTTCATGGATCTATTTATAGGCTCTGTGTTCTGTTGTATTGATCTATGTTTATATTTCTTTGTCTGCACCACATAGTCTTGATTACTCTAGATATACAATGTCTTAAGCGTTAGTAGATTGATTCCTTCTGCTTTATTCTTCTTTTTCAAATATTATTTTAACTATATTTGTTCATTTCCTTTGCATATTAATTTTAGAATAATTTTGTCTACATATACAAAAAATTTTGTTGGGATTTGAATAAGAATTGCGCATATCCTATAATATGATTTGGGAAACTATTCACACCTTTACTACATTCAAACTTCTAATCAATGGCACATCCATTCATCCATTCATACATGTATACAGGCACACACACATACATGCGTGTATATAAAATACATAATGTATGCATATATATAAATAATACATATATTTATGTGTATTGAAATGCCCACGGATTAGAAGTCTAAATGCACATATTATATCTATTAATATATTTTATATTATGTAGAGATATAATGTACATATGTCAATGAATGAATACAAATACCTATAGATTAGAAGTCAATGTAGTTTTACATATATATTCTTGTAAATGTACAAACATATATTTTTCAATAATTTTTAGTTTTTAGCATACAAGCTCTTTACATGTTTTGTTAAATTAATAACTTAATATTTACATCTAAGTATTTTACTTTTCTGAAAGAATTCTACTGTAAATGGTATTGTATTTTTAATTTCAGTGTTCTGAACTTGGCTTTTTGGAATTTGTCCATTGGTAAATTCTTGTTAATATTATTGTCTTGTTTCTATTTTTTAAAAATATATTCAGATTTTCAACTTCTCTATTTGTTAAATTTATATATATATATATATATATATATATATATATATATATAATTTTTTTTTAAGTTAGAAAACCATTGCCAAATTGTATAAGTAATTCCTGTAAAAACTTCACTCAGTTTCCTTAAGTGGAAACAAGTCTGTCACAAGTACTGTATAATTATTAAGCCAGGGAATTAATACCAATATACTACTATTAAAAACTTACCAACTGTATTTAAGTTTTGCCAATTACCTTTCCTGTTCATGCAGGGTCCAATGGAGATCTCATTTAGAGCTCATTTCTCTGTAGGCTTCTGTCAACTGAGACAGTTCCTCGGCATTTCTATCCTTTTGTAATCCTGACAGTTTAAAAGGGTATTGGTCATTTATTATGAAAAAGTCCCTTTTAAAACTGTTGCTTGTGAATTCAAACCACACACACACACACACACACACACACACACACACACACACACAAGGGGAGAGAGAGAGAGAGAGAGAGAGAGAGAGAGAGTTTAAATTAAGCTTTCACAATTAATAATAAAATACCAATCAGTTTTTTTCCTTTTATGGAGGGTGTCAGTTCTATTTTCAAGTCAAACACACTGGTACACCTATAATCCCAGCCATTTGGGAGGCTGAGACAAGAGAATCACAAGTTTGAGGCCAGCCCCAGCAAATTAGCAAGATCCCATCTCAAAAAAAAAAAAAAAAAATGAGGCTATAGCTCAGTAGTAGACCATGCCTAAGTTCAATTCCCAGCACCAAAATGTAGAAAAAAATAAAAATATATAAACATCAGTTCCTGCTCTCGCCTTGTTTTCCTTCTTTCTTCTTTGTCTCCTCCTCTTTTTCCTCCTCTTCCTTTTCCTTTTGCAGTACTGGGGGTTGAACTCAGGGCTTTACATATGGTAGGCAGACACTCTACCACTGAGCTACATCCCTGCCTTTTTTATTTTATTTTGAAACAGGGTCTAGCTAAGTTGCCCAGACTGGCCTCAAACTTGTGATCTTCTTGCCTCAGCCTTCCAAGTACCTGGATTACAGGTGTGAACTACAAACCCAACTACAATTTCCTCATTCTTGACTTCTTGCTTTTATTGATTTACTCTTCTACAAATTTGGTTCCAGAAATGTTCCTGTATTTAATTAATTTATTTTTTTTGAAATGAAAACTTCCAAACATACAAAAAGTAAAAATTATTGACACAACAATTAAAAGCATAATGAACTCTCATGTACTCTTCACCCAATTCCAGCAATTACTACTATATTTTCCTGGATTATTTTAAAGAAAATTTCCAGCATATTATTGTATCCAGAATTACTTCAAGATATATTTGTAATAAATATTTTAACCACAAACACTATGTCATTATCCTACTAAATAAAGAATAATAATGCATTATTGTAACTTACTATTCAGGCTATTTCCAAACTCCCCAATTTTCTCAAAGTATTTCTTTTGCAATCGGTTCATTTGAATCAGCATCCTTGAAAAGCCTACATAATGCATTTGATTGTGTTCCCAATTTTCTTTTTTCCTTTAATGATATCCTTTCATCCTTTTTTGTTGTTGTTGTTTTGATTTTTGAGGCATGGATATTTTTGAGAAACAAATTTCTTGTAGCATAGAAGATTCTTCATTCTGTAATTGGTCATTGTAGCATCACAACACTGTTATCTTCTTCTTCTCTCTGTGTAACAAATGACCACTATCTAAGCAGCTATAAGAATATGATTTCAGTGTACCTGCAGCTCAGAAGTCTGGGGTGACCTAGTTGGCTCTTCTTAAGGTCTCACAAGCTGGTCATTAAGGTGTTGGTCAGGGATTGGTTCTTATGTGAGGATCAACTAGAGAAGGACTTGCCTCCCCTGTTGCCTTTCCTGTTCATGCAGGGTCCAATGGAGATCTCATTTAGTGTTCATTTCTCCTTAGCCTTCTGTCAACTGAGACAGTTCCTCAGCATTTCTATCCTTTTGTAATCCTGACAGCTGTCAGTGTTCCTTGCAGTTGTAGAATGCATTGCAGTTTTCTCTGTTGGGAAGTCTGAGTTAGAGGTTTCTGAGAGGCAATAGAAACCCAATGCTTAATAATTAAGCAAGAAAGTAATTTATTAGCAGGATTTTTGCATGGTTAAAAAACTGATAGAAAGGCTGAACGGAAGATCAAGTAGAAGGTGAAAACCAGGGATGCTGTCTGACTGTGCAGCAGGAATTACTACCAGTCATGTCATGGTGCTGCTGCTAGAATGTCTGGGCTCCAACAACGCTTTTCCATCCTTGATTGTCCTGCTCAAGATTCAAGTGAGAGCCCTGGTCTGTCTTGGGAAGGTCAGTCAGCAAGGTGATTTACAGCCTCACAAGCACTTTACACCACGTGGAAAAGAAGATTCCTAAAAGGAAAATAAAGTGCAGTTAACAAAATAAAAAAGGAGAAGCAGCATAAGACAAAAAACAAACAATAAATAAAAACAGCAAAAATTCACTGTATCTCAGTTGTGATTGGAGGGAGCCACACTGTCTGGCCTTGCTGAATAGTCAAGAGAGATGACACTTTACCCTGGCACCTTTACTTCTGCAAATCTATGCTGGCAAATACCATTTCCTAACATCTTGGATTGCTTAATCTACAACTAATACCTCCAGTTGATATCTGCATTATATTTTTCTGAGAGCAACTTTCTAGAATTCTTTTGTACTTGAGGTTACTGTCGATCAAGGCAGGTTCTTCATAGACCCACGCTTGTCATGTAGAAGCTACTATCTGTGATATCAACGACCACTGAGGTCCTCAGATCATTGTGTGAGATGCCCAGGAATGAATCCATGTACTCACAACTACTCTTTTCTTCTTTCAGGACAAATGATAACTGCTCAGAATCCCCCCATACCATGGTATCTGAGTAGAGCATTATATTTCTCTGCAGCCTTTACCAGGGCTGACAGGATTTTGCTTGCATGTGTGTTCCATGAGAGCAGCCACCATGCCCCCCCTCTCATTTACTTTGTATCCCCAGCACTTAGCACAGGGTTTCATATATGGGAAAAGGCTCATGTTGTTTGAATGAATACATGAATGAACTAGGTTCATATGTTGTTAATTTTACAAGTAAAATTAAAGATAGTTTTAGTTTTAAATTTGTGGTCTAAAGCAAATAAGATCAATGCCTTTTATATTTCAATTTTAAAAGTCAGTTAATAATTTTTCAGCAAATCCTTGGTTTTGTTTCACAGGTATGGAATGTAGTATTTAAACATTTCTATGTACTTGCTAGGTCCAGGTTGCTCTTTTGTTATTTTAGGAATATGTACAGTATCCATCATTTTATATCCTCCTCTTTTTTCTTTCCAAATGCTTCAATAATTTGACTTCACTCAAAAAATAGTCAATGAAATATTTTTGAATGTTTTTTAATTGCACACATCAATGATCTAAGTAAAAATAAAATGCTCTAACCTCTTGGAAAGGTGACATGTATTATACATTATCCATGGCCTTCAGGAAATAATGATTATGACTTTAATACCACCTAATTACTATTCAGGATACTTCCATACATAGATAGGGTAAAAATTGCACATGGGAATTTAAATGGCATTATTTGACATTTTAAGAGGCAGATTTTTCTTTCAATTATAGTAGTAAAGTAATAGATTTCCAACTATTGACTTTACTAGAATCTATTGCACTCACAGGTCTCTGTATTTCACTCTTTCCTACCTGTCCCTGCTATTTCCCTTCCTCTGCTCTACTAGTCTTCCTTCCACTCATTTATTTATTTTTTTAATTGGTGCTTTACAGATATGCATAATTCACCATGCTATATTTATACAGGCACATAGCATAATTTTGTCGAATTCATTCGATTTTTTCCCCTTTCCCCATCCTTCTTTTCTCCCCTCCAATCTTCTTCTACTCTGCCCATCTTTCCTCTATCTTTATGAAATCCAGCATCTCGCCTCTATTGCCTTACTTTGCTCTAGCTTCTGCATATGAAAAAAAATTTGACCCTACACTTTCTGAATCTGGTTTATTTCACATAGCTTGATGTTCTCCAGCTCTATCCATTTACCACCAAATGTCATAACCTCATGCTTCTTTATGGCTGAGTAAAACTCCATTGTGTATATATACCACATTTTCTTAATTCATTCATCAATTGACAGGCACCTCGGCTGGTTCCATAACTTTGGCTGTTGTGAATTGTGTTCCTATAAACATTGATATACTTGTATCACTGTAGTATGTGATCTTAGTTCTACAAACAATATCTTCTATTAAAAGTGAACTTTCTGTGTGATGTATCAAAATGCATTCTATTGTCATGGATAACTGAGTAGAACTTAAATAAATGAAAAAATAGCAAAGAAAATTGAATTTAAAAAAAGAGAGAAATAAGGAATTTAGCTGAGGGCTCAGACCAGGGCTCATGGTACTTATGTACTTCTATATATATGGAGAAGATACTTAGTGAATTAAATTAAAACTGATTGCCCAGGGAGAATGAGAATTTGGTTGTTTTCTGACCCTTGCAGTGCTAGGTATAGAACCCAGGGCCTCACATTCACTAGGCAAGTGATCTACCACGTGCCTACATCCCAGAGCTTGGTAGTTTTCAATACACAACAATTACAAGGTATATTATGGTTATAGCCCCAAAATAAAATGATCAAAAGCTTAAAAAACTGACTTTCCATAATAACTCCCATCTTTCATAGCAACTTATTACCTAAAATACCTTTAGGTAATACATTACCAGCTTGCCTGAGAGTAAACTTGTAAATAGGAAGATAAATTATTAAGAAAAAATAAAGGTCAGAAGTTTCTTCTAGTCATATATGTACTTGAATATATACTAGCTTCTAAGTGATATTAGGATAAAAAATGTCACATGTAAGGATAAATCATGGGTACTCATGAAACATCTGTGAGATGAATTTAATGATATGTGCAAAATCACATAGTATGTTAGTACTTACATTTTGTGTTTTGTTAGGAATGGAAAGAAAACCACATAGTGTCCATCTAAGACCCAACTCAGAGGTGATTGAGGTCCCCTAAACAGAATTGGCTTGGGATGTACCAGATACTACCTTTGGTTTCAAGGACATTTGAACTTGTGGATATTTCAAACCCCTGTGGACTGCATTTTTGGGTGGGAATGTGCATGCAAACTTGCTAAATTTTTTATGATATACATTCATCCAGAAATTATTTGAGAACTCTAAGATGAGTGCTAGATGTCACAAGATCCTAAGGATCAAGGAGAAGCAGATTAAATTGCTGAATGAGGTTTTGTTTTGTTCTATTCTGTTCTGTTTTGCTGCTTCCTGTGGGGTGTGAGCTTTTATAACAGGAGACACATTGATAAGGAAGAGATTAGGATACATGTTTTTAATTAGAGACTAATTTAATCAATATAAATCTTTTAAGTGTTTACTTCTTGAAATTAAGCTGGAAACAGCCCACTACCTCTTCAATGCTGCTGATTTATAATTATAAAAGGAAGGCAGAAGATTAAAAGATTATTTTTGACTGGGAGTGCTGGGGAATGCTTCATGGAGAATTTTCCTGAGAGTTCTCTCACTGTTTTTAATCCATGGAAATGCTACATGCAATTTAGTTCAAGAACACATTTTGTGTTAGAACTAGAAAGAAAATTATAGGCATAATAGAGTAGTCTCTATAATTCACAATAATGAAACAAGGGTAGAGGGAGGGAATAAGAAGATTTATCCATAGTTACAAGTAGCTACCAGTGGAGTTGGAGTGCAGGCTCTCTGTGCTGCAAAGCCCCTCACAGCTATGTCGAAGTAAAGTAAAAACACTGGTGTGGGAGGAGGTGCCTGGCATCACAAAATGGTCTCCTCATTACCTGTGGAGGGCACTACCAGGGAACTTCAAAACCATGTGTTTCCTCTGCTGGCTGAAGAGACTTTTGAATAGGTATGTCAAGAACTATTAATGTCATGTGATCTATCTTTTACCAGATATGATTTTATAATAAATTTTACTTTTAAATTATAGTTAAACTTTTGCAATGATTCCTCAACAAAATTTTTCATCAACAGAAATTCTTGAACTGTGAAGTTTAGAATAATCAAGATATAACCTGAAAAAAAAAGAGATATATTTTATCTGGCAGCTGAATTAGTGTTTGCTTTGTGAGAGCAAATCATTAAGTATTTAAAATTCAATGCAGTTTTTGTTGTTGTTCTTTCCTTTAAAAAAAATGTTATGACTTTATTTTTAAAAGCATGCTAAGGCTTACACACATGTGCAAGGAACTATGGTGGCTAAAGCATAATAATTAAATACTTATATACGAAAATGCCTAGAAAATTTCTAGCACATGATAAATATTCATTAAAAGCTTTTTTAATATTTCATATATTTCTTAATATAAAATTTACCCATAGCACAAGTTTTAATTCTTCCTTTTTATTCTGTTTGTTTTTCTATGAAAATCTATTCCTAGAATCTTCAAAATTATAAATATGGGTTCTTATACAAGAGAAAAAATGTGTGTGGGTGTAAATTATTGAAATATAAATACAAATAACCTAATGGCTTCCAAATTATGCTCACTCTCAGCATTTTTACCCTAAATGAGTGACCTCTTCATAATTGAATTTGTCAATCTTCTGTTTTTTAAGAAAATTCTGACATAACATTATGTTATTTTATTTAATGAAAATAAAAGTCATTAAAATAATGAGACATTATATAAACCCAAGATATGAAAGGGATTGAAATTTCAGGTACTGATTCTATGCTAAACTTTTGGAAATCTGGATGAATAAGTGAATTTCTGAGAGAAAACAAAGAATTAACACAAGATACAAAAGAAAAATTACATCAGCAAATAAGCTTACTGCATTATAGCTATACATAACAGTGAGATTCTTTTTGAAATATAATTTGCTTCATTTCAGTCTCCAGTACTTCCTCTTGCCCTCTCCAACCCTGTTAACGTTCTCTGAACTATTGATCTTCCTTCAATTTGCTTACTTTTTAAAATTGGTACTTTGTAGATTCACTGTGGTATGTGTGTGTGTGCGTATACGTTTTTTTAATACGTTTAAGATACGTTTAAGATACGTTTTTTTTATCATAATGCAACTGGTTTCCTATTAAATAAAAGAATGAAACAAGGATGTCACTATCATTCTAGTCATTTGATGGTGTTCACCAGCATGGTCTGTGTAATAAGAAAAAAGAAATGAAAGAAAAAGTGCTAAAATTAGATTAACCAAATTTAGCTTTGGGGGTTGTTTTTGTCAATAATTTAATAGTTTACCAGGATGACCTAAAAAACCAAACTGAACAAAACAAAAACATATAACAGTTGATAATATAATTTGGATAATTAAAATATACATAAGAAACAGA